GAGCGTCAAAATGAGTCAGAATAGAAAAGTACGGTGGAACTGATCACTGTAATAACACATGAATACGTTTCAACTTCAGAGACAAAAACGAAGAAGAAAAACCGTCAGAATCGCGCGGCGGCGGCGGCGTTCTGACTGTCGTTTAACTTGCCAATCTTGTGATAGAGCTCAGGAAGCTGCACTTCAACCTTCTCCCTCTGGAAGAGATGGTACTCGGCCTGCTCACAGACGGGGGGGATCAGGTTAAACTGTCTGGCCACAGAGTACGCCTCCTGGAGGTGAGACAGAGGAACAGCAAATCAGATCAGGGCGGCTCCTCAGGAGAAACGTTTGAGGTCATGTGACATTTACATCTACACTTCCTGCTCTTGATCACATGACATTGATGACGGAGCTGGGGGTTTGGGGGAGGGGGTTGGTATGGTGATACGTATCGTATCCACAGACTACAGTATTGTACTGTGAAGTACTGCAGTACTGTAGACCGTGGTCTACCACCAGCTCACCATGATTTCCATGGCCGTCCATCGAGACGTGCCCCAGTACATCGCCATTCCTTGGTTGATGACGTACGTCATGGCCCGGACGATCTCTGGAGAAGACACAAACGCATCACGTGACCGACCAATCAGGACAGTGATGGAACAGGTATTTAACACTTTGGAACACTCCTTTATTCCTCTGTGGGATCAGTTGGACTGACGTTGAATCTGTCGTTACAGGATAATAACTGTGTTATTAACGGACGTCACCGTCAGCACAGCTGCAGCGTTCACCTCCAGTCAGTTATAATAATATAAAACATCAACCTTCACTGGAGCTGTGGGCTGATGACCCTCCTCCCCCTCCTCACCCCCTCACCCCCTCACTGTAACTGGACCATTCAATCAAATTCATTATGTTTTCTATGTAATATTGACCCAGTTACCCCCCCCCCAACATTGCCGAGTGCAGGAACCAACAGCGGTCTAGGCCTTCAACACACTAATGAGAAGTCACGAAGGTCACACTGATCATCTGTGTTCATTCAATCATTCACTCACGCTTCCTCTACAGTAGAGGTTATCAACTGTCGACTCAAGGCTGGAAACAAACCTATGACCTTCTGGTTGTAAGGCATTGGGGTAAATACACAGGAGTGAGAGACACAGCAGTCCAGGAGCGGCGACTCCTTCATCCAAACAGACGAAATCTGGGTTTTTAGTTTCTGTGATAATCTGTATCAGAGGCGTCGGACCAAACCACCGTCCTGTCAACAGACCAAACCACCGTCCTGTCAACAGACCAAACCACCGTCCTGTCAACAGACCAAACCACCGTCCTGTCAACAGACCAAACCACCGTCCTGTCAACAGACCAAACCACCGTCCTGTCAACAGACCAACGCAGCAGTGAGACAGGACGGTAATTGTCTGTGTCTCTGCTGTCGTCGACGCCGTCTCCACTCCAGCCCTCCTGCCATGTACCCCACCCACTGAGACACTGAGGCGTCACACTGTGCTATCATCTAAATGCTACTTGTCTCAACTCCCAGCCATTATAACAAGATGTGAGGAAACAGATTCGAGACGTCAGTTTTCAGTGAGGATTAGGAGGAAAATGGCAAGGTTTAAAACCGAGGACTTTAATCAGGTTCGTCAACTTCATCTGGGACCAAGGTAGATGAAGGGGGCGGGGCTAACACTGCTGCAGCTCTCACATGAACCTGAACCCAAAAGAACTGTATTATGTATTCGATTATATTTGATATCTTTAATTAGATTCACAATCACTTTTTTACACAGTTTTAGTAAATAATTTGGATACTCAGTTGGTAACAAATATTGACCAGTTGTGTGATTTGACTGGGACCAGTTTAGAATTTTGCCCCGAGGGTAATTGACTGTGATGTTGGTCTTGACTCAGATTAGTCCAGAATCAAACATGTGAAAGTCAAGGTGAATGAGGACGGAGAAGAAGGACGGCGTCTCGTTAACGTCAGGCGTCTTCACTGATAAACAGCAGGTGATTATCAGAACGACACTGTTAGCTCACGGCTAATTGTCTGGACCATTCATTTATAATGAGCCAGAGTGAAAACACTGACTGGACCAAGACCCAGGCAGAAAGAGCAACGATGAAGATGAAGATGAAGATGACTCACCCTCCATTGGGGTGTTGCTGTCCGGTCGGTTGGCGAACACTACGTCCACATAATCCAGCTGCATCCTCTGTAGAGAACCTTTTAGACCTGAGGGACCAGAGAAGAAGAAGAAGAAGAAGAAAAGAAAAAAGAAGAAGGAGGAAGAAGAAGAAGAAGAAGAAAAGAAAAAAGAAGAAGGAGGAAGAAGAAGAAGAAGAAGAAGAAAAGAAAAAAGAAGAAGGAGGAAGAAGAAGAAGAAGAAGAAAAGAAGAAGAAGAAGAGGAGGAAGAAGAAGAAGAAGAAGAAGAAAAGAAGAAGAAGAAGAGGAGGAAGAAGAAGAAGAAGAAGAAGAAGAAAAGAAGAAGAAGAAGAGGAGGAAGAAGAAGAAGAAGAAGAAAAGAAAAAAGAAGAAGGAGGAAGAAGAAGAAGAAGAAGAAAAGGGGTTGATGGAGGAGAAACGGGCGGAGCTAACGTCATGGAAAAACAAAACCAAACAGAACTAAACAATGTCTTTGTGTGTGTGTGTGTGTGTGTGTGTGTGTGTGTGTGTGTACCTTCGATGATGTGTTTCCTGGACAGTCCTCTCTCTGTCTCTGCTCTGAGGAAACAAGACCAAAAAAACCCAAACATTTTTTTCATTCTAAAACTCGTCGATTTGCCGTGACCTGACGAATGCTAACAGTGGAGTCTTAATTGTTTTCTCAGGCGTGTTGTTATCAATCAAACTGATCGATCAGTGTGTTTGATAACAATTCCTCGTCGGTCCCACAGCCACACTGGTATTTTAACAAAGACGTCGTTTGGTTTCTGCCAAAATAAGAACACAGCTTTTATCTCTTAGAAAAACATCTGATCAATCAATCAAACACACGTCCACTACTCCCTCTACAGTAAGGCAGTGGTATTGCAGCAGCAGCACAGAGCCAGTTATTTTCCATCCCAGTTCTTCAGAGCTCTCAGTGGTCTCAGGGCTGCGGGGGTCCTGACCTTCAACTACCACAGCCTGAGTTCAACATCACCCCTGATGGACAGGAGACAAACATGGGAGGACACTGTCCCGGCTGCCTCATGTCTAATATTTAACTCCACGTTCCACAGGGGGCAGTAGAACTTCAGGCAGGTTTTTTGTTCCTGACTTCCTACTCACTTCCCTCCCCAGTAGAGTTTGGTCGTGATGACGAGGCTGGAGCGTCTGTGAGAAACAGAGAGAGAACACGGTCAGTCGGACAGACGGACAGTCGGACAGTCGGACAGTCGGACAGTCGGACAGTCTGAGGTCTGTGGTCTGTGGTCGTCTGTCCTACCTCCAACATTTCTTCTTGATAATGTTCCCCAGAATGACCTCAGCCCTGGAAGGACACACGAAGACAGAACTGTTAGGACCAGTGGACGGAACACTCCAGAACTAAGACGGGTGTAGTTACCCATCTGTTAAACAACGGGCCAACGGTTAAAGGTTTAACTTCAGAATAAAACTTCTGCTGTTGTGGTTTTTCAATCCTAAAACACACACGCCTGCGTCCAGACTCCTATTGGTCAAGCTTTGGATGTCAATCACACACGTTGTGTCTCAGTTCAAATGTCCAAAATCATCAGGGTGTTCCAGGCAAAGACGTTTCTGTAACTCATTAGCAGTAGGGTCGCCCCCTTGTGGTGCAGTTCCTTGTTTCTTCTTATACAGTATTGGCTCCATGTACATCATGTATGAAACGGTTGTTATGACGGCAGCTGCACCGCACACACGGTGTCACATGACACCCACGCGACACCCACCTGCCCCCCGCGTAGACCTCAGCTGTGTCGAACAGGTTGACGCCACTCTCGTACGCGATGGTCATGAGCTGCTCTGCAACCTGGGAAAAAAACCATCACAGACACAGAACAATTCAGTTCAGAGTTTTAATGTTTTCATTCACATGTTAAGACACTAGGGGGCAGAGTTCATAATAATATGTAGGTCTTTTCAAAGGTCTGAGACTGTGGTCCAGTTGAACACAGGTGCAAACTAAAAATACACTGGTTAGTCACTGGTTAGTCACTGGTTAGTCACTGGTTAGTCACTGGTTAGTCACTGGTTACCAGTTGTACTGTCGCTGGTATCAGGTTTCTGGAGGTTAACTTCACAGAAATGCAATATCAGTGTGTGTGTGTGTGTGTGTGTGTTCTTGTATATGCTAGGATGTGAGGACCAGTCCTCACAGGGACCTTGTGTCCCTCCTCCTGGTCCACTGAACCATAGTGTCACCGCCCCCTGCAGGTCACAGTTTATAAACAGCTGATGTTTGCCAAATGGATTCTGACCCTGACATTGTGACACAGTCAGCACAATAGGATTTTAGAGTGACCTCTGCCCTCTGGAGGCCACAGTGAAGGCTGCAGCTGTGGTGCATGAACAGAATGGATGACTGTGTCTGTGATGTCACTCTTCAGTTCTCTTCATTAACGTCTCCACACTCTGCACCGAGCTCAGGCATTTCTGCAGAGTTCACGCTTCATGTGTGTGTGTGTGTGTGTGTCATGCATGCACTGATTTCCTGCCAAACGCTCGCAGACATGGAGACTGTAAATCATCTTGACCAGAATTCAATTTTCCTGTGGTGACATTTATTACACAGGAGGTTAAAGAGAATTTATTTTTTCATCATTTTCAGAGAATTATTGACAAGGAAATCCACTGATCCAGCATGTGTGTGAGTTCTCCTGCCACTGCATGTATAGGTGTGTGGTTCCATTTAAATATAGATGGACGGGGGTGGGGTGAGGGTGAGGGTGAGGGTGAGGGTGAGGGTGGGGGGGTCATTACACAGTCTCTACTATGAGAATTATTCTCCGGCTCCTTCAACATTCTCTACGGCACCAGAACCAATCAGGACGAGACTTCATCACAACAGCGTCGAACAGTAATAATGAGGTTTGATTGTTGGTTTTTAAAATGCACTCAGCACAGAATAAAAAATGGGGGGGGGGTAGTGGGTGGGGGTGTTGGCCTGACTGAGTACAAAAAGATATTTTTCATTTATTGTCTGTGGTAACAAGAAAAAAAAATCTTTAGAAAATGTTTCACGACAAAAGAGATTTGGAAAATGACAGGATGGAAGGTGCGATGGAGGCTCTTTTAAAGTTATTCTCCCCCTGGGGGCAATTAGAGAAAAACATTTTGGAATGGAATTATACTGTAGTGAATTCAGTCTGTGTAAAAAATGTTGAAAAATAATGAAAACCAAGAAGAGAAATTAAACTAGATGAGAAATTATCATCACATGATAAAGAGAAACATTTACAGTTCGCGTCTAGCGCCCCTGGTGTGAGCGTCCTGTAACAACATGGAAAAACGTCACATGGTACAGATGACTGACGGACTTGACGAGCTAAATAAATTAGCCACAGCAAATGGACGAAGAACACGTGAAGTATTTTCAATCATAGAATATTTTACTGCGGCAGATTAGCATTAGCATTAGCATTAGCATTAGCATTAGCATTAGCGCTGTGGTGACACCATTCATTTGGGATTGAGTTCAAAGGAAGCATTTCATTAGTTGACTCTAACAGGATTAATTAAATCTGTTAGGATCTGAGCGGCTCATCATTAATAATTAATGAATGACTGAGTATGTCAGAAACACACACACACACACACACACGTTCACGTCACTGGTTCACCGTTAGTACCCAAGAAAACCAACCGTACCTCGTCTGTTATCTGTCCTCCGAACGTCACCCACGTTCCTGGAGGGGGGGAGACAGAAGTCACAGCATTAAACAACATCAGAACCCCGTTAGCATCACCCGTTAGCATCACCCGTTAGCATCACTACAGGAGGAAAAAACAGAGGTTCTCAATCTTATATTTTTGGATTTTGATGAAAATGAAGGACCTGCCATCAGAAAAGTTCAATCTTCTTTTCAACCGGCAGCCAAATGGGATTTCTTCAGAAGCTTTAGTCGACGTTGCCACGGTAACCACGGTTACTCTGGTAACCTCACTGTGGAAAGTGTTCATGTCAAAAAGAAAACACAAACTGACCCTTTAGAATCGCACAGTTGTGTCTAAACCAATCAGGTTGTTTGTTTCCCTGCTGTTACACTGATATTGTTGCGGTTTCGTACCGACGCCCTCAGCTCACGACCCCATGTTGTACATCTGGGTTACCATACCGCCACCTACTGTACTAGAGTGTGTAGTGTCAGGGTATGACCAGTGACTCAGTCTACGCCTTACACCTCGGTGCGTGATTCAGTTTTTATTTCAACCAATGAGAATTGTCACAGATTTGTGTCGATTTGTACCTGATTCTCCATGCATTGTTACATGCTAGTTAGCATTTTTGCTTAATAACAATAAGGTCAGCGGTTCAAATCCCTGCCTTTACAGGAGTGAATGAACAGTGATGTTTCTACTTGTCTGTTTTAGGAGCGCAGATAAAAGGACGTGATCGGAGTAAAAGTGAAAAAATGAAGCGAAACGTGAAGAATAACAAGTGAGACGACGACGAGGACGACGACGACAACGACGACGATAATGACAACGAGGACGAGGACGTCGAGGACGACGAGGACGATGACGACGAGGACGAGAACGAGGACGACGACGACGACGACGACGAGACGCAGCTGAAGGATTTGACGGCAGGTGTCATTTTTCATTTGTTACAGCTTTAACAAGTCTTTTTGAAGTAGAAAAATAAAAGAGTTTTGAATCCACGTCTGTGCCTCATAGTCTGACGGACGGACGACGCCTCAGGAGGAAACAACGAGGACGACGACAACGACAATAATGACAACGAGGACGAGGACGACGAGGACGTCGAGGACGACGAGGACGACGACGACAACGACGAGGACGAGAACGAGGACGACGACGACGAGACGCAGCTGAAGGATTTGACGGCAGGTGTCATTTTTCATTTGTTACAGCTTTAACAAGTCTTTTTGAAGTAGAAAAATAAAAGAGTTTTGAATCCACGTCTGTGCCTCATAGTCTGACGGACGGACGACGCCTCAGGAGGAAACGTTTGTCCTCAGACGTTTGTCCTCAGATGTTTGTCCTCAGACGTTTGTCCTCAGTTTCACTGTCCCCACAAACACCCGGTCAACAAGGAGACAAAAACCTTTGTTGAACTCGTGTCTGTGACGGAACCTCTGTCTGATTTGACGGCAGGTGTCATTTTTCATTTGTTACAGCTTTAACAAGTCTTTTTGAAGTAGAAAAATAAAAGAGTTTTAATCCACGTCTGTGCCTGACAGACGGACGGACGACGCCTCAGGAGGAAACGTTTGTCCTCAGACGTTTGTCCTCAGATGTTTGTCCTCAGACGTTTGTCCTCAGTTTCACTGTCCCCACAAACACCCGGTCAACAAGGAGACAAAAACCTTTGTTGAACTCGTGTCTGTGACGGAACCTCTGTCTAATTTAAAAACTAATGATGGAACGAAACCAAAGGGACTGAATCTTCCCTCAATCATTGGTCCCACAACAACATCAGAGTAATCAGAGTAATCAGAGTAATCAGAGTAATTGGACCTCAGTGGAAGTATCTAGAGTAATTTGAAATCTCATATCCTGTTACTGGCAGAAAAAAAGAACCTGAAATCGTGCTGTAAAAATACATCTAAACTCAAAGCAAAAACAGACCTGATCTGTCCATAATTACACCCCTACTGGTCAATGGTGGTATTGTTTATATGTATGCCTGGTCCGTCCTGGAGCTGGAAAGACTAATCTTAGATTACTGCAGTATTGTTAGATACTACATGGATGGATAATACTGCATCTACTCTCAGGGTTCGTCTTGGACAAATGTTCCAGAACTAGCTGAAAATAAATTTGATTTTTAATAAAAACATTTCCAATTTCAACATCATTTTCTAGTAAGAAAAAGGTAAAATAATATTTTAAGCCTTTCAGTTGCACCACAGTTCTTCAGTGATACTCTTGAGTAAACAACAAAACCAACAAATATATACAGTACAAATATTTTTTAAAACACTAAACCTCGAAGCAGAAACAACAAAAGTCGTCCTTGAGGAACAGTCTGAAAAAACAAACAACTGAAGAATGTTTTTGTTGTTGTTTTTCTGCTCCACATCACTTTATTCTCTCTGCTGTTTTGATTCGCTGCGTTTCTCTGCTCTGAGATCTGATGGAAACTGAAAACCAGAGACTTTTGAAAGGACTTTCTGGTCCAGTTGTTGTCAGAAGTTCTCAGACCGGAGCCGGAGGTCGTCTGAGTCGGAGACTGTGACTAACTGCAGTGACTAACTGCAGTGACCGTCACGTGACCACGCCTCAGTACATCTGGTTCTGCTCTGTTTATTCTGCTGCTTCAGCTGCACTTTGATTTTTTTTTTTAATAATGTTGATCATGAACTTCCACATCAACAGTTTTCCCCCTTTTTTCAGCAGAAAACTCTGGGGATTTGGAATCACTAAGGGGCAGCAGCAGCAGCAACAGCAGCAGCAGTAACAACAGCAGTAACAGCAGCAGGAACAGCAGCAGCAGTAATAGCAGCAGCAGCAGTAATAGCAGCAGCAGCAGTAGCAGCAGCAGCAGCCTCAGCAGCAGCAGCAGCGGCAGCAGCAGTAACAACAGCAGTAACAGCAGCAGGAGGAGCAGCAGCAGGAACAGCAGCAGCAGCAGTAACAGTTCACTGTGGCCACTCCAGATATCCCTGTGCTTCATTCAGCTGATTGTGAAGGAGCAGATTATCTGCTGCTGCTGCTGCTGCTGCTGCTGCTGCTGATGGACTGTGATGAATTCACTCAACACTTCAATCATCTCTTCCTCGGCTCCGTCCTGGAGTCTGGAGAAGATTTTAAATTTCATTTGAATGACTTTTAATCAGCAGGTAAAGACATTGAGTCACAATGACGCCTCTCACTTATACTGCAGTAATACTGTAGTAATACTGTAGTAATAAAGACCATTTTGAAGTGATTGATAATGGGGGGGCAGCGAGTACCTGAGGAGAGGAGGTCTGAAAACATGAACTAATATGGACATTTCATGTCCGCCCTGTGCTCAACATGTGGCTGGCAGCTGGTATTTTGTTGACCTTTCCTACACAGTGTGGCCCAACCTGCAGCCCAGACCTGTCAATGTGTCGTGGACCACCTGGGCAGCAGGACTCAGCCTGGAGGTCAGACGTTACAGCAAGAAAAGAAACCAAACTGTAACGTCTGAGAATGTTGGTGCTAACTGATACTGCCCCCTGTAGTTGTACCAAAGCAGCTACGGGTACTTTCATCTGAGTACTCTTCAATATCGAGTACCAAAATAAATACTTTGTCTCAACTACAAAGTGACTCTGTGGTTCTTCTTCTTCTTCTTCAGGTGTTTTGTGTAATTACTTATCGTATCAGAGCCACAGTCCTACAGTAGGGGTCGCTCTTGTCTTTGTCCCTGATGTTGACCTTGGTGGTGGTCAGGAGCCACAGAGGAGCGGTCAGAGAACTAACGCAGAGAATGTTTGAGTACTAGTACTAGTAGTTGATTGAAGTATCAGGACCTTCAACCTTCTACTGTTCGACCGACCGACCGACGGCTGTACGACAGACATGGAGACGTTGGTGTGACGTTCACTCACCGAGTCCCAGACACGACACTCTCAGTCCAGACTTCCCCAGATTCCTGGAAAACAAGGAAAGCAGCGGTGAGACCCGGTGTACACGGACGTGTACTCCAACAGGCGGTCAAGAACTTCATGGTAAATTATCTCTGCAGACAGACGCTCAGTGTGGGTCTGCGCTCCCTATGTTGACAGCAAATAAACATCCTGTCACCCCTGGTCCAGCCCTGCACATGGTCTGACGCTTCGATGGTGTCGACCGCTAGTCTAGAACAGGAAGTGAGTCACAGCGCGTAGAACAAGTTTGTCAAAATAAAGCTAGGACTCCATCACAGGCGGGAGGAGAGAGTACACAGTACACAGTACACAGTACACAGTACTGTACTACACTGTACTACACTCAACAGTATATGTTTGTCCACACGTCAGAAAACAGTGCACGTCCATATATGGTCGTAGGAACCTCATTACCTGAAGGTCAGGGTCTACAGAATGGACAGCAGTTCTACTCATTACAGTTCTACATAGAAGCTGCACACAGTTTAGTCAGAGTGTAATAACCATGTAATAACAATGCAGTGACGGACCATTTTCAGCCCCAGCCCCGCAGGTTGAACACCATCTGTGTCTGAGTCACAGATCCACTGTCAAACTTAGAAAAAAGAAAAAACTTTTTTTTTCTTTCACAGACTCTGTTTTTCAAATACAGCCACAAACTGAGGCTAAAGCTGAGGCTCCGGAGGACAGAGGCTCTGAAGAGGCCGCGGAAAAAAAGGTCAGGACGGTTCCTGTGAGGAGAACTGTTTCTGTCCTCTCACATGAGCGTCCTGTGAGGACGTCCCCATGAGGTTACGACTGCCATGGTCCTGCGGTGCACACACACACACACACACACACACACACACACTTCATTTTAAAGCAGGTGCAGAAGCTGCAGTTGTGCTCCACCCCTCAGCGTGCAGACAGCAGGTCTGTCTATAGGTGGCACACTTTTCCTGTCTCCTCAGCACTTCGCTCCAGGAACCGTTTTCAGTACGAACAGAAAAAGACTGATGTCACGGTGAAATCATCACATCATCACTTTTGTTTTAAAACTGCTCTCCATCCAGAAACACTAAGAAGTCAGTCGTCGTAAGAGGAGAGAAAAACGTTTACGAAGAGTCGGTCGACGCCCGTCACTCGTACGACTCGTCGCTCGTAATGAGGTCATAGGTTTATATTGATTAAACTGACTTGTATTAATTAATATTCTGACAAACAACAATGTAATTACCACTACAGTACCAGGTACACGTAATACTAGTTTAGGTACGAGTGAGTAACTTGGAGTAAGTTGGAGATTCCTGTTGATGAACGGATCAGACCGGATATTTCTGGACTTTAAAAAAATAAAGGAAGACTTGGTTTATTTCAGATCAGGTTGGTTGGCCTAGAAAATGAGTTTAGCAATCGTAGGCAAAGGCTGGAAGATGGATTGTTGTGAGGGGGTGAATAGACGAGGGAGGGTAAGAGAGGGAGGGAGGGAGGGAGGGAGGGAATGAGATCATCCACCTGTGAGATGGAGTAAGAAGGTGGTGCTCTTCTCCCTCATTCCAAAAATTCATTCAGATGTCTTCTTATAGATATGCAAACATCCAGAGCCACCTGATCATCAAGCGCAGGTCAACCTGCGCCACCGTGTGGTCACACATCAAATATTCATGGGAACATGAAGCTGGCAGCTCCGTCTCCAAATGGATTCACACTGAAGCCATTCATCTCCACTCAAACCTGTCTTCATTTGCCTGATGACAGACACTAATGACTTTCTCTTACACTTTCACCCCCCCCCCCCCCCCCCCCCCCCCCCGCTGGCCTCTGCCACGCCCCTCTAGGTCTA